GAGATGAGGGAACAGTGCAGTAAGGTTACAAAGGCTGACCGACCAAATAGAGGAGACACACCCGAAATGGGCGGGGCGTACTTGAGATGGGCGGCGCTTCCCGTGTCACTGAAAAAAGCTATAACTTGGCTACAAAGCAGCCCGGAGACGGGAAAAGTAAGGTTATCACTGGATTGGCAGAGCAAATGAAGAAGTCGTACCCAAAATGGGCGGGGCGTAATTGAGATGGGCGGCGTTCCCTTGTACCAAATATTCGGCATAAGTTCGCTGAAGGATCTCCATAGCGATCCAGGTATCATCTAAAGGGCACGTTTGCTGGGGGAGGGGGGGGGGAGGGGCAATTACTGCCAACGTCATTTTTTGAAGGGCTGTGATAGGTAGTTTGATCAACCCCGCTGATGTTGACAGTGACCGCCCACCCGCGCCTAGCCACCATTTGCTTAGGAGTGCATTTCAAATGTGATTTGTTAGCAGCTGCAGCAGTCTCACGATTCAGTCCCGCAACTAGTAGCCGCGCGTCCGGTCTAGTCGTCGGAAGTGTGAACGGGGCCTGATGGGAAGATGCTGTGAACGAGGTCTAATGCTGGGGACGAGTTTCCTGCGATTAGCCAATAAAAGACGCGACTCCTGCCCAGGCCAACCAAGCCTTCTACCCTCCGGGGACGGTAAATTGGTACCAGATTCGTCTGGGAGGATAAAACACTGACTTGTACATCGGCTGGCCACCGCAAGTCATTGTATAGGCCACATCGCATTCAATAAGCCACTACGATTCTGAATGGAAGTAGAATGCGTGCCGCATCCCACAAAGGGATTGATCAACGGCGAAGACTTTATCCTTTATCCTTTTAACTTCCGGAAACATTCAAGCGTTCACAAAAAGAGAGCTGCCTTAAAGTTACCGTCCCGGATTTTGGAGTGGGTGGAGTCAGAATGCACGCCATCGCATTCCCTCCGCGCGCCTTCTTCATCGCTCTAGCGAAGGGAAGACGGGGAGCGCCAATGACGTTTTTTCCTGGCTCCGCCTGCCGGATAATCCCGAATGCTGCCCTTGACCAGAACAGAACACGACCCACAGCTCGCATAAATGATCCTGGTATCTTTTCACTTCATCAAACTGTGCCTACATCGAAGGAATAACGATTATTCATAAATCCCTAATAAATACCTGGCTCAGGCGATGGTGGCTGTTTCAAAACTGTACCGTCACCATTGACAACTACACCACCGGGCACCTGACCATTGGCCGCCACGTTGTGATAACTGAAACAAAACTGTTGACTCCCAAAGTGTTTACAATGGCCAGCAAAGACCTTGGCGCGTTATATCCTTCCACATTCACGAAGCCTGTCTGCATCGAATTTGAGCGCGGATTCTGTACCCAGGCTTGTTGGCACGGGTTCCCAAAGACGTTTATTGCTGGCTCGCCTACTGAGTCCATTCCATGATGTGACGATGTCGAATGCGAAGCTGTTGAATGGTGAGATACGTGTGATGCCTGAAACCATCGGGTTTGGGAGGGTTCTTTGCTTTCTGGCCCTTGAACTGATGCGCTCTGTGCTTACCTGGAACAACGGCACATCCGAAGATGATGGATGAGGCATTTGCCCTTTGCCACCTCTCATACGTGTTGTCGCTTCAATAGAGTAAGTATTTATAGGAGTATTATGTAAATAACATATGGCGCTGACATAGTTAAGGGGGGGGGTGTAGAATCTGTCACGCCTCTATGTCTCTTCCACTGACTGAGACTTGTGCTAAGGCGTAGACGACAAAGGCCGCCGTTTAGTTTCGCACAATACAGGGGGGCAAAAAAAAGACATTTCGACCGAGTCACATATCAGCAAAGTTTTCGCAGCCCAGACAGAGAACGTGGATACGAGTACCAGGGCGGAGGATACCCAAGATGTTCCTCTATAAGCAGGAGCTGGCGCTCGCCCATCACCTTCATGTACACCAAAATATGAAGTCATCTCCAGCCGCAACCTGACTGGAGAAGACCTTCGGAACTCATGTCACCATCCCAGTAAAGAGCTGCACAAAACACTGCTCTAGTTGGATTGGCAAGGCTCACCCTTGGATTGCGATCAGCTGCCTGTCCCGAGTACCAGTAAATACTCTCGAATCTAGAGTTATATATCTCTCTATTCATTCACCGTCCAGCGACATCATGCTATCACCAGTCGCCAAGCGCCAGTTGATGGTACGGGACCGGACGTGGGCGATGCCGTGAACAGAGACCGAATATTTTCTTCGCGGGCAACCGGACTGAAGGTGAGCACTGGCGGTTACATCGAGCAACTTGAGGAGAATATCCTCCCCACATGTCGTCCCCCGTACCTTCTTGGAAACTTTGTACTGCTACAGGATTGAGGTGACACCACATGGAATCAAAGGGCGTTGGGAAAACTCTTGCCTACTTGGAATGGAGGGGCGTTGAGTACCTGAGGAAGGTGGAATATTCAAGCAACGGTCATCTGACCCAGAACCCCCTCAAATTACCTGGTTCGCGGCGGAGTTCAATAGGGTGGTCTACGGTGGCGGAGAAATCGACTATCTCGCTGATCTCAGGCACCCACTCACGGTCCGCGTGGCCAGGAATCTACATATCGACTGATGCGCTCTCTCTAGTAAGGCAGTGTGGCGGAGTAATCATAATAGTATTTGATATGCTCATGCTGATTTATCGGTGAAGTGAAAAAATATCCGATAAGAATTTAATAAGTTGTAGCTTACTCAAGCGGCGTACGAAAAGTCAAGGCACTAGAAAGAAAGTCTATTATTTTTGCCCCCGCCCGTGTCACACTCATCTAGAAACTCCACAAAACTGGTCGGCCATAGGGCCCTTAATTTAGAGAAGAGGACACAGGAGGCAATTGTCGGGTGCCCCCCCCTCCAGTACCGTTCAAAGTACTTACAGTCCTCATCATTCGGACCGGTGGGCGTGTCTAGTGCCAGAAGGAGCGAAGTGCGCACGATGTTGAAATCCGTTCTTCGGCCATGTGTTCTGCTTGCGAGCGTGTATGACCGGACAGACAGAGTGGGTCAGAAGAACGCAGCTCATACAAGGATATTATACAGTAATGCACTTGTTCGCTTCAAAAACTGGTGCAGAACGACTTTGCCAAACCGCACCAAATGCAGCCGCACTGCCACGCCCCACCGGTCCGCAATGATGAGGACTGTACGGTCAAAGGTATGTACACTGCTGTACTAAAAGTTTGTGATGTTCCTAGCACAAGAAAGATATGAAACATCTTTGGTTGTATCGCGTGAGGAAGGTCGTTGATTTTTGGAGCCTTAACCACAAATTCTCACCGTTCAGATAGTACTACTTGGGAGGTCCCCAGACGATTCAGGCGGAAGCGCATAGCAACTAACGCGAAGGCAAGGCTAGATGGCTGAGGTCTAGCCTTCTGTGCTCATCTGATCTCAGTATGGTCGGATCGCTTCAAAAGCCGCTTCAAGGCTTCAGATCTCGAAAATCTAACGAAGTCCAGACAGAGATTGTCCGCGCGCCGGTCTGTTTTACTATGTTGCTACGTCCAATCCTACCGTCACTGTTCAGTAACCCATTTGAGAGATCTTCTCAAGGCGAAGGTTTCAGCCACAATGCTTTTAGCCTCACATCTATTACTTGCAGTCCACCGCCGGATGCTGCCCTTCTGCGTGAACAAACCGCTAGAGCAGTCTATTCAGAGGTCGCCCTGCTCGTCACGCGAAAAGGTTCCGTAGTATTGCGGCACACCACCTATTGCTAGCACCTGGGAGGGCGCCCACTCAACAAATGGAAAGCAGATCATACGGACCCAGTTAAGAGACCCCTCTTTTGAGGAATGTGCGGCTCCCTATCTTGCGCACCTATTCACCAATCCATCCGTAGTACATCTAGTCGTTAGACAGCTGGGGCACGCGTTCTCATCCCAGAGACAGTCCTCAACACTGCTTGGCAAAACTCATTGTGCAGCAGTGACGATGCTAACACGAGCTAGAAAGCAGCGAAGGCCGCTAGAGCATCAAGAATGTTTTCTTCCTGTTGAACGCGTGTAAATGCTCCTCAGCGGCCGAGGTTTCCTGCTCAAAAGGCTAATGCCCGCGATCCTATGCAAGGGAAGAAATACATCTGTGTCTCCGCTCGCGACAAGAACGGAACGTTCTGCTTTGTTGGATGAACTACTAAGCGCCTTCCGTACACAACTCTGCCCCAGAGCTTACAAACGAATTCGCTGTTCGAGCTGCAATTTTGTTCGCGCCCCGCCACCCCCACCCCACCTTTAGGCTACGATCTGCTGAGGCCCCACTAAAGCATTGTAGCGAGCCTGCAAACTCTGAGCGCGTCTCATAGCGAAAAGCTGAGATACATTATACATATTAAATGACGTAAGCGCCACAGCGCAACAGAAACCAGAATACGACTTCTATCTCGCAGCTGTGAGCCAATGAGTAGATTGATTATTGCGGAATCTGCTTCTGAAAAATATGTGCCCTTCCCTCATTGCACTTCTGCGTGGGCCCCAGTTCTTCTTGCCCAGCTCTCCACTAATTTCATTAGCATCCCGCTCGTCCACGGAGCTGGTAGCATTAGAGCGGGGATTTGGGCATTTTACCGATAGGCTCTCTGATGCGGTGTTCTGGATTCCTTCAACGACGTCAACTACATCGCCGTGACATACGATGTCAGTGATGCGCAAGCAGAGTAAACTAAAGCCGATCATTCGCGACTAATCGTTCTAGTGCTATTTGTTGCGCAGGCGATTCTTTCATTCGGTACAACTGCACAACCGATTCCCGTTATGACCCCTTGCTTCCCAGTTGTGCTCAATTGTTGATTGATTTTTCACAGGGCGAAAAAAAAACAAAGAGGTGTTATAATGGACTGTCGGTTACCGTTCATAAAAGAAGTGTCGATGTGATTGTTGTATTCACGCATATTGTTGAGACCTCGCATGCTAAACATTTCATTCTAAATCTAACCCAGTGGAAAAATGCACTTAAAAAGATCGATAGAAAGAAGAGGTAGAATTACTTGTTGTGATAATGGCTGTTATTATCTAGACCATTCCAACCGAAAAATCCACCATCTGAAGGATAAGACGAACCGAAGAATGTGTTGTGGCTACAAAGCAACACGATTATTGATCGTATATAATGCCAGCCATACGTTTTTTTTTACAGCAGACTTATTTCGTCCCCACAATGACCTTAGTCGTCTCACGGGCGAGCTCTCCAATAACCGGATGGGCGGGGACAGTGAGCCATTGAGCCTTCCTGATTGGCGCGAATCTGGGCGCGTCAATGAGATGTTTCTCTGCTTTGGTCCACACAACCAGCTCGGAATAAGGACACCACTCTGAGCCTGAGTGCCGTATCTTTCTCCTTCTGTCCCATTCCCCATGTTTGTTACCTGGGTGGTCCTACCCTACTGGGTTGAGTGTACTTGAGCACTCCTAATAAAACAGATAGCACGGCTGTCTTCTGTCCGCAACACAGACAAGCGAGCGAGCGTTTGCAAAGTGTCTCGGGTAGTTGTGCATCATGCAGGACCTGACACCCCATGCTCACCTTCCCTTGAACGCATCGGCGACGGCTCTGCTGTGAAGCTGCGAAAAGGAATCAACATGTTTCTAAGGCGGCCTGCAGAAACTCAGCTGAGTACCATTTGGTGCCCCCACCAAGCCGAACGGCAACGCATTCACGCAACACAAACAAATGGCTGTCACTTACAGGTAGTCGCGACGACCTTTGCAGTGTTCATATGAGACTACCTCACCACGAGGACATGGGATCTGAAAAATTCCACTCGAGCGTTTCTCTACAAGTTGTTCTAATCTGTACATAAAAAGTTGAAACACAGCACATTAAAAGCAAAAACTGCTGTTGAATTAGTCGGGATGAGAGATGGGGGGGGGGTGTAGACCAAACTAGGCCACACCCAGTCTCAGCTCACTAGCTCCTTCACCGGTATCTTAGAGACTAAACATACGTGGTGTCGAGAGAACCCAGGCACACGTATATCGGGGAGAGGGGGGGTAGGGGGGAGAGGACTTACTCTCGCCTCATTTTGTGCACCCTTCACCTTTTTAGCTACCCTATCGCTGGAAAACTACCATTTAAGCAGGTACCTTTCGTGGGGAAGGGGGTGGGGGAAAAGTTAACAACATGATTTTACCGTGGACTGAAATTCTGGGTTCTGCTCTGACAATGAGAGCGTCCAGGAAGAGGGAGATTCGCGCTGTCAGGCGCTGAAGCAGATCGCATTAAAACCAGAAATTGCTGTTATAGTCTGAAGCATCGATTTTTCGATTTCTCTGTGAAGGAGGCAGGAAATAGAGAATGCCACACAAAAGAGAGGGACCTCTCAGTAGAAGGTCGGAGGGAAGAAATGGACCACACAGTTCATTTCCTCTCACATGTGCCACACACGGTAGGCACGCTAATTAATAATAAAAAGGAATACAGAC